GAATCACAAAAAAAAAAAAAAAAGGAAAAATATATATGTATGTACTTCTAATTTACTATTAAGCTAACAGACCCGAGACGACATCGCCACGTATCACTCAACCGCTGCACGACTCCTAGTAGTCACACCGCGACGAGGCTGAGGACGAGGACATTCTTCCAGATCAGAAAAGCAGCGTATTACCTTCTTCTTATCCTTCGCCAACGCAACGTATATTCGTCCATCTGAGGTCCAAGTATTTTCAGGTCCCATTAAGGCTTTAGCTTTGAGGTAGAGCTGAAGACGACGGGCAGTAAGGGATTCAGAAATGAAAATCTTTTTACCTCTCAGTTGTTTCTTGTTGGTCCATATCATTCTCCGCATATTATAAGAGACCAACTTTACAATGATTGGTCTGGGGGAGGACTTGGATGGTATATTCGATTTTTTCCTGATAGGACCAAGACGATGACTTCGATCCAGCATGTCAGAGGTGAATTTAAAGTTATTTAATGTCAGATGTTCATTTAGGGCATCAATAACCAGAACATCGGTATTTTCACGCTCCGACTCAGGAATTCCACGGATAAGGAGACAGTTGCGACGGGAGTACATCTCCAAATCATCCACACGCTCATCAAGGGTAGAAATCATGGAGCGCACCTCATTTAAGTAAGAGATGATATTTTTGCGGAACTCGTCGAAATCAGCCGCTAGTTGTTCGAGTGACAGCTCACCCGCCTGGTCCGCATTACGCGCGGTTCGAAGACGTTCCTCGAATGAAATCATTCTCTCGAGAAATTTGGACTCGAGAGTGGTTAACGCACTAGAACCGGTCTCCCCCATAATGCACCGTCTGACAAAAATAAGTCAAGGACACGGAGAAACTCGCGTAAAATATTACAAGAAAACTGATAATTAACAGTCAATTTAACAGACAGCAAGCTAATCAGCACTAACACAATTTTACATCAGAAGCCGAGCAGTTTAACTCACACAGAAAAGTACAATAGCGCGAATTTCTACAAGAAATATTAGAAAAATAATGCACCGGCAACAAAGCACGACTACACTTTATGCGCCATTTACTACGAATTTTCGACGTTCATAAAAAACTGGCGCTCAATCATCCAACGCTCGTGCAAATTCGCTCTTTAGCAAAGTTCGCTGCTGCTTGCAGCGCTACTTTGTGGCTTGAAGTGATAGACTCATACATTTGTTTTTGATGCTCGACGCTGACGCATGCAGCGCAAAGCGAATTCGCTATGAGCGTCACGGCTCGTGGCCCTCCGGTTACAGCTTGGGGCGTTTTTTATCTGACACCCTGTATACTACTCATAAAACATTAATACACTCTTGATTGGGATTGCTTTATGATAAAATATAACATTTCAACATTTTCAAATCAATGAGAAAATTTTTAATAGCATTGAATATATCTAAAAAACCTCTTGTTAATTATTTGTTATCTTATTAATTATATATTTTTTATTATATGTATTTACCGTCAAGTTATCCGTTGCGCGGCGTAAAAATTGATTCATCGTCAACTCGACATTCGTCGTCAACGTGATAAAAAACAATTCAACAAATAATGTTTTGCAATTCGAACGCACGTTTAATGTTTAACTGTTACAAAAAAGAAATAAAATATTTCTTCTTTACATGTAAAATCTTCAAATGAGCCGTTTATTTTAAAAGTGGCCTAAGTCCATTTATTTTTAATTTGAAATATTTAAGATTTTGCGTTTTTACAAAATTAGAAATATACGTAAGGTATATGGTTGACTCGCAATGCTAAATCGTATTTAAAGGAGTTAATTTTATAATTCCTATTAAAAAATCGCTATTATTAAGTGTATAGTATGTCCTTGTTAACTTTGAAAGGACTTAGGTCACTATCAAAATAAAAAATTTTAAATTCTGCATTCTCATCCATGGTTGTTTTATATGGTTCATTTCTTAAAAATCGCATCCAGAATATTTGCAGCCAGTTTATTTTTTCCCCGTTGGTATTTTTGGATCTTCTGTAAACTGCTTCTTCTAAGAGTCTTGTTGATATAAAATTCTCTTGTTTCATTTCATTTAGTATGAAAGTATTACCTTTTCTACATTTTTTTATTATATTATAATAATCTTGTGGCACGTACAGTAAATGATTTCTTTTTAGCGACATTTCTATAACGCCAAAATCTCTGTCATTAGGTAAAAATGAATGACCTGATATTAAAAATTTGTGGTCTACGATTTCCACATAATTTTCCATCGATTGAACAATTTTTAGCCACATTAAGATATTTTATATCTTTATGTTTATGTTTTGTTTTTCACTTTTTAGAGTTTTAAGGTGTCTAAAGAGGCATGAAGCCAGTTCTTGGGAATGGATTACTTGATACTAGTTCTTGATCTTGTTTTAAGGCATTTCTAGCTGATTCTGCTAGTTTTAAATGAATATCATGTTCTTCCTTATCTTTTTTCTTCTTCATAGTTTTCTGATGCTTTAACTTTAATGTTTAATAGATCATATTTTTGGCATGTGTCTTTGCGTGGTTGGTGGAATTGTAGATTAAAATCTTTTTTAAATATTTTTCTATAAATCCATTCATGAACTGCTTTTAAATTATTTTCTTTACAGTGGAACTCATACAAATCAAACATTTTTTTTATAGTCAATTGAGGATGTAGATATTTTCTATTGGGGTTATGATCCCTCGTATAATGGGATTCAAATTTCGGGAAACTGTTAATATGGTTTTGAACAACCATATGTGCTTCATCGCATATTTTCCTTGACGATCCAGGCAAACGCCCACATAAATTGTTGCCTACATTAATTGTTGCCTACATTTTTAGATTTTAACACATGTTTCAATCGTCCTTCGCTTATTTGAAAAGTGTGTAAAAAGAATTTTTTAACTTGTTGTTACAGGTTAGGAAAACATTTAAAAACGGTTCTCAAATCGCATTTGTCAAGTGTATTGGTGGAAGTTTAGTTGCCAATACCGCATTTATTTTTAATTTTTTTAAATTACTTGATCTTTAGTAACTTTGAAAGTTATAAAAGAATCTGGGAAATGAACAAAAATAATTTTTGTAAGTTGCTGTGCGTATAGCGTAATCGCGTAATCGACTATCAGTCGCTTCGCGATCGACTTGTTGGCCACCCCTGCCCTAGAGCACCTATGAAAGTCCATTCTAGCTGTCTGGCTGATTTAAAAAAGTTGAAACTACGTCTTCCAGAGAATGTGATGGTTTTTGCCAATTCTGGAGCTCTGCATAGGTGGAGCTCTTCTTTGCATTTGATGCTCGTTCCGTTGCCCTCTATCAGCTTGTGATCTATGAGCATTCTAGAAACCATATTTGGTGAGAAAAACATTCTTGTTGTAGTTATAGAACAGATGTCTGGTATTGGATTTATTAGATCTCTCAATTCATGAGTAGTTCTTGAATGTAGTGCCGTCAAGATCTCATTTATCCCTGGGATGTGTTGAAGGGTTCTCTTCGCTGCTGATAAATATTTGTTTTTGTAATTATGTGGGGATTTAATGTATTGAACCAAGACTGTCTTGGGGCCTAAAAATTGTGCCATGCTGCTTCTTTTTTCCGGTAGAAATGTTATCCCTTCAAGCAGTACGTGGTGATGACCATACAGCCCCAATTGAGATACTGCTACAGATTTTGTTCCAGACTGTTTTTTTTAATAACCACCTGCGCATGACCGAGCCTTAATTTCTTAATCTTCAATTCGAAAGCAGCAAGGAAGTCTATATATGGGCCCACTGTTCCATACTAATTGTCTTTATCTAGTTGTGTATACTTTTTGTATTCCAATCACTGATCTTCGGCTGCTTTTAGAACTAGGATATTGTTGGCCTAATTAATAAACCACGTAACTGCCATTTGGTACTTTTTACAGGAGGAGCAAAAAACTGTTTTATTTAGGAATGAAAATATGAATTGATACTGTTTATTTTTAAAATAAACTATCTAATTTTGAAATACATATCTGGACCTCAGAACCAAACAGTATTAAGTCACACTCCTTAAATTTTACAGGAGAGCAATTTGAAGATTTTGAACAAATGTATTTTTCAAACCGATTACTATTGTAAATAGGAGAGCATAGGTTTTTATTTTCCCTGTTATGAGTTTGGAAGCTAACTAAAGCTGATAATAACCAACCTCCTACATTAATTTATTGAAATAATTTTAAATTAATTGTGGGACTTAATACTGTATAGCTCCTACGAATTTATAGATACGTGGGACTTGATACTGAATTATTATTAAGAAACTCATAGTAGAACAATCCAAAGTAGAATCAAAATGAATTAATACCAATTATGACTAATTAATAAAGGGTAACAAAAGGCAAAAAGACACTAAAAATAATTTTTTTTTTTAAATAAGTAAAAGAGATTACACCAAAATGTTACAAATGAAAACTATCAGTCCTAAAATTCAGTAATAAACAAATAATTAAAAATTAAAGAGAAAATAAGCAATAAGGGTCATTGCATTTTTCAGTCGTCTTCCTTGAGGTTACTATGTGGAAGATTTTTAAAGTATTTATGGAATCNTCAAGTTTATTTTACTTCCATCGTTCGTTTAGTTAAGGTCGTTCCTTACGTCCGTCGTTTTGGAAAAATGGGATACATAATACACTCCGTTTTTGCTCCAGAATTATCTATGTCCTCTTCAAGATGGTCCACAGGATGGAACAGCTTGAAGAATTTTTCGTTCTGCATTTTTTGCAAGCACTATATCACGAAAAACAATATCCTTGATATCCTTCGGTTCGGTTAAATGCTTTAAAATACCTTTCTTGACCAAATAGATTTTACAACTCCTTCTTTGTACTCAGTGCCATCGTTTTTTCGCATGCTAAATGCGTAAACTTTGAAACTTTCAGCAAATTCTTCAATGGAGGTTTTTTCGTTTAGTTGGTATCATATATCATATTAAGTTAGATAAAATCTCATTTAGCTTAAAACTTTTTGCCAACATATATATTGTCGATCATGTATTATGTCAAAAACATTAGAAAGATTCCAAAAATTTTGTAGTGTTCTTTTCATTGGAATGTAATAACCGTTTCTGCGTTTTAAAGTTAAACTTGTTTCTCCTTTTACTTTCTTTTCTTTTGGGCAGGTACCTATCCTATACTCAACAGGTTTTATTAGATAACCAAATTTTTTTTTAAAAGTAACGGTTTTTTTATATTCAGTATTCACCGTATTAAAAAGGTTTTGAGAAATGTTAAGCATATTATTTAAATTAGAACATACTTGTGATTGTTGGAATTTGGAAGGAATTCATAATTTGTCGAATACAACTTTAAATTTTTCTACTAAAGTTGTAACAAGTGAC